ATAGGGTTCCCATTTGAAAATATGAAGTTGATACAAGTTTTAAGCATGAGGGATGGTGGTACAAATTTTAATTTTCTTGTGAAATACCTCATCAAAGATCCATAATGAATAAAAAAAAAATTGTTTATAAAAACTGAATATTTTGAGATATTACGTGAGACATAGTTAGCCAACCACTCTGTATACTTTACAAATTAAAAATTTTTAAAGGTTTATATACTACATTAGTTTTGACCATTCTTGGTATAGTGCTGGTATATTTTTCAGATTATATAGTTTTTCTGTACTTGCTATTAATATTACACTATTACTGATGAACACTACTGACGTAGCAGTGGCATTTTAATGGCTAGTAGTGTGTCAGTATTATGTCAACAAATCCTTAATTGTATTTAGCTTTTAATTGTATTCCGTCACTAAAATAATTGAAATTGACCATTATTATCGAGAATTTTATGGGTTTTAACTTCAATACCTAATAACTCCTAGATGAATGAAGATTTCAAAAAAATGTTGTATGATTTTCAAGCCCTCTCGTTACCTGAGTTAATAATTGGGTTTTCAAAAATTGTATGTCATTGGCAAGGAAAATGTTTTAAATTTTATCATTAATAATTTTACAATAATCCATTTTGTTTTCAAAAAGTTNAAGATATTACATGAGACATAGTTAGCCAATCACCCTGTATACTTTACAAATTAAAAATTTTTAAAGGTTTATGTACTACATTAGTTTTGACCATTCTTGGTGTAGTGCTGGTATATTTTTCAGATTATATAGTTTTTCTGTACTTGCTATTAATATTACACTATTACTGATGACCACTACTGACGTAGCAGTGGCATTTTAATGGCTAGTAGTGTGTCAGTATTATGTCAAGAAATCCTTAATTGTATTTAGCTTTTAATTGTATTCCGTCACTAAAATAATTGAAATTGACCATTATTATCGAGAATTTTATGGGTTTTAACTTCAATACCTAATAACTCCTAGATGAATGAAGATTTCAAAAAAATGTTGTATGATTTTCAAGCCCTCTCGTTACCTGAGTTAATAATTGGGTTTTCAAAAATTGTATGTCATTGGCAAGGAAAATGTTTTAAATTTTATCATTAATAATTTTACAATAATCCATTTTGTTTTCAAAAAGTTATTTCAATAAAAAGTGAAAACTAAAAGATTCAATGTCGACTGTTTTTTAATAACTGTAATTTTTTATGACATTTCCTTAAATATGAGTTTCAAGGAAATTTTTTGAAACTATGACACTAATAGCTTTAACTAGATACGTTTTGTGATTTTTTTTGACGTATCGTTGAATAAGATCGATTCTATAGGAGTACAATTATTTATATACCAATAGCTTCTCAGCTACTCACCGAAGATAATAATCATTTTATGTTGATTATACATTTTAATTTTAACTAAATATTTTATATTGATTTATTTAAAATAATACATGAGTAAAATGATAATTTATAAGTATATATTTTTTATTCTTAAAGGGGTCGTTGCGGCTTTACTGCTAATTCAACTGAATGGTTTTATCCTACTTTATTGATAACATTTAGTCTTATGATACCTTGGTCAATATCATTTTACTTTGTATTTATTTCTCGACCATCATCGGCCACTATTAGAGCCACAAGAGGCTTATTAAACTCGAGTGATCTCATTAGATCTCAACCTGAAGACCTCCCGTCTAAATGGATATTTTCCTTATATACTGTATTCGTGACACCTGGATATTTATCGTCTTGTTCATTTCTTTACAAAACACAGGACGAAAATATTTGGATAGAAAATAAAAAGTATGATAGTATTTTAGATGGTTATCTATCCAAATTACCAATTATATTTGACTTGATAGTACCATTAGTTTTAATATATTATCATAAGGCTTTTAGAAAGAAATGTAGAGATTTGTACTTGCATGGCTTTAGAAACTCTGTTTCTGATGGCTCTCAAATGATGAAAAAAAGAATTTCAAATCGTCGTATTAAAGAAGATAAATTGATCAATGATTCTCCAGTTTTATTTCTTGAAAATTCTGGAATAATTAGTCTGAGAATACCAAAAGATAATGGATTTATTATCACGGCATGTGATGTTGACGAAGATGGCAATTCAGTTAATAAAAAAAAGTACAATAGATTTTNGCAGTTAATAAAAAAAAGTACAATCGATTTTCTAGAAGAGTCAGCAAAGCTATTGGGTCAAATTCAAAAAACATCAATGAAAATGAAGAGTTTCAAAATGAAGAATCACAATTTTAATTTTTTGGGTTTCATTATTTCATATTTTCTATAAAGATATCAAAATAAATGTATAAAATATAAAAATAATAAGCATTTAGTATGTTTTTATAGTAAATATGTATATAAGTAAATGAAATTTTTTAATTTAATTTTAAAACAAATATAATATTAATACTTCAAATCAAAACTGAATATTTTTAATGAAAATTATATGTGTATGAATTATACAGTCTCAATTTTTATAAAGTAAATATTAAAAAATTTAAAATTTCTATTATAATTTTCATCATATGCTTCTTAATTAAAAAATTTTAAAATTCTAAATGTTCATAAAAAATCTAACAATTTAAAAACAAAATTAAAATGCAGAGCATTTTTTTTATTTAATAAAACTATTCAACTATAATTAAGGAATATAGTAAAAGAATTGTGAATATTTATGAGATTTCGTTAAACGTAAAAATAGATTTACTTAACAAAAAATGATAATTTTTTGTAATTAACAATGAGTTTTTTTTTGGCCTCTAGAAAACATGATAATAATTAGTAAAAAGCGTTAAATCATAACTGAGTTTCATTCAAAATTTAAAACGTTATCATAAACGGTAAAGATCTCGTCCGCGTTCCAGTTCACGTTCTCGCTCTTTTTCGTATTCCCGTTCTGTTTCTTGTCTCAATTTACGACATTCATACTTTTTATTTAAAATTCTCTTTGTTCCTATTCATCTCGAATCTCACCACGTTCTCCAAAAGAAACATCAACTAAAACTTCTGATATACAAAAGAACCATATCTTAATAATTGAATCCCAAGTGGTATTCATATTAGTAAAAACAAAATTTTATTTATTTATAAAGAACTTAGTTTCTTTTTTATTACTTAATCTGTCTTAGAACAACATAGGCTTTTTGGCAATATAATTATATAATATTTAAAATTATAACAAAAGTATACACATAATTATAAAAGACTTGTTAAAATTCACTATAATTTGTATTTTTACACATTTTTCAATTATATAAGAAAAAGTTAAAACAAAGAAGATCAGAAGTAGGTCTTAAATGCACTATATAAACCAAATAATCCTTACCTAAATGTCATTGTCAAAAAACATTGGAATAAAGAGAACAGAGAGTTCTGGAGAAATGTATCCAATCGGAGTAAAATATATTTACTTGAAAGTCGTCATGCGCTGTGGCATTCAAAATCAAACTACTTTTTCAATATAATTAAGATGGTTTTTCATTTATATATATTTTGTAAAACAATATAAAAAATAACCGACCCATAACATTTGAAAACATTTAAAAATATAATACACTATTAGTTTATACTACTCATCACTAGATAGCACTAAAATATTATTAAGAAACAATAATTACAAAAAAATATAGTTTACTTCCAAACAAATATCAATCAAATGCTGTAAAGAATCTTTTTACGAAGTGAAAATATTTAATTAATATTTAATGGCTTAGTATTTTTCAATCAAGTTTTTCAATACATAATTAAATTAATTTCTTTGTTCTAAGTATGTTAGTTAATACTACGAATAAAATTGTCTCTAATTTTTTTACTCCAATTTTCAGGTTGCAAATTAATATTTTCATCAAGTATTTAGTATAATATGATGATATAAAACATATTATAAAAATAAAATATCATAGTATGCAATTTTTATTTAAAAGAAAGATTTTAAAGTGAATTTTGATTGGCAAATCTTTTAATTTAAGTTTGTTTATTAAATGATGTTTTATTTATTTTTTTTTATTATAAAATTAAACGTCAATTAATTATTTTAAACATTTGAATTTTCTTTTCAAATTATTCTGTTTTAATAATATATCCATCCTAACTTTAAATATTTATTTTGAATAAACGCAGCGCCCGGTGGTATTCACGCAGGTTCGTTAACGTTAGTTGTTTTAATTTGTCTTAAGTCAGACTATGTCGAAGAAAAGGATTAAGGTAAGGGACTGTATGNTTATGTCGAAGAAAAGGATTAAGGTGAGGGACTCTATGAATGAATTTTAAAATAAATAATTATAACAATTAAATTTATTATACATGACTCATAAAATCTATACACCAATGTAGATAAGGAACACACTTAATACTAATGCCACAATGGCGCTGATATAAACAAATAATAAATGTGAGTTAGTCTTAAAAAGAAGACAAACAAGCATCTTATGGGCTAACTGATGAAACGGCTAATGATAATATTAAATATTGAGAGGATCAATTGAAGTTGAATACAAGTAGCTGACCAACGTGTACAATATGCTGTGAACGGTACTGTGATGTATATATAGATATATATACATATATCTATATGATATATCTATATGTGATGTATATATAGATATATATACATCACAGTACTCAGAAAATATATAGATCCAATAGTGATTTACTGAGCGTACAAGGGTGCGACAAACGCAAAGGTGATATTTTACTTTTACAATAAAACAAATACAAAACTACTACTAGCTTACATAGATTTATATTTTATAGCTAAAATGCGCTAAGATGGCGGCGACAATGCAGACATAAAGAGAACACCGACAACAAATCGGTATAGCACAACGATAGCATAAATAATCACAACACAATTTCTCGACAGCACTTTTGACCGATGTGTATGCAACATATTTTTAGTGATTAATATTTGTCTTGGTGATTATTGTGCCGTATCCATTCAAGGCGTCACCACCGGGACACATTGTCCACCACAATATCGTTTTGATAAAAATTTTAAATATTTTAGAATCTTGTTTTGACCAGATCAGAGGAAGATTTAAGAAATATTGGTGTCGATCTCTCAAAAAAATACTTATTCAATAAAAATAAACAAATAAATAAGAACAGATTATAAAGTTATATTTCTTATAAAAAATATAGCGTTTAGAATCTTTTACATATAAAATCAGTCATAGATTTTGTGTAATGAAGTCTTATTATTTAAAATTTGAATCGTTTTTCGTAAATAATTATATAGACTATAAAAAACGTAGTGTGAAACGTATACTCAGTGCATTTAATATTAAGAATCAACGTTGAACTACTTAAAATATACTACGTGATATAGGATAAAAGGTAAGTACATTTTAATCTAAGCTTTCGAACCACAAGCAATCTATAGCGTAATAAACCATTAAGATAAATTATAAAA